TCGCTAGAATTATCGGTAGGGAGACAAAATCTCCAAAACAAAAGTTCCAATGCCAAAATGTCCAAAACCCAAAATTCAAAAAAAAGTCCAAAGGTACAAAAGATCCAATTATCTGATGTCCAACAAAATAAATATCCAAAGTTAATTTGCCCAACCCCAAAAGTCTAATAATGAAAAATGCATAGCTGCAGCGTATGTACACGTACATGTACATGCGTACATATATATATGTCTACATATGTATACATATGTATATGTACGTAACTATGTTTGTTTATCGGCGTACTTACCCCGTCACTTACGGTACGATTTCGCGACGATCGGTCACGGTTAATCATCTCGCGGTCTATTTAAATTATTTTGTCGCGGTTAATTTGAATTATGGTACTTCGTTTAAATTTTACGTTACGCCTCCGTTTGTGTTTTCCGTTGCGTAAAATTTGTGTTAAAATTTTGTGATGGCTGAACAACCACCAACGGCTGAGCTTATCCACAAAGGCGGCACCACGTATCTTCACTACGATGGATTTTTATACCTCCGTCATTCTCGAAAAGGTAAGTCTCTCAGTCTATCTTTCTCGCGCTCTCTTTCTATATCTCTCGCGCTCTCTGTCTATCTTTCTCGCGCTCTCTGTCTATCTTTCTCGCGCTCGCTCACCCCCTCTCAGGTTCAACAAGTTATTGGAGATGTCAGAGAAAACCACAGTGTGCTGCTAAAATAACTATCATTCACAATGGGGATGACATCATCGTGAAGTCAGGAGGTGACGCGGAGTCTCACGAGCCGAACCATGCACCTAACCCAGAAGAAGTGGAGGCTTTGAAACTACTATCGGACCTGAAGCGTGAAGCACGAGAACATCCCGAAGCGCCACCATCGAGGTTAATGCGACGGCTCAGCTTCCTGATCGGATGAACGTCAGGAAGCAACTGCAGAGGGAGCGCCTCAAGGAAATGCCGTTGAACCCGGTAAACATCGAGGACCTGGAAAGCGTGCCTGATAAGTTCCGAAGGACGAAGATGGGTGATATTTTTCTTTTATATGATTCTTTTGAAGACGATGATTTTACTCTTACATGTGGCCGAATAATAATATTCAGCACACGTGAAAATTTAAAAGTTCTTTTCAGATCTCCCCTTTGGTACGTTGATGGTACCTTCAGCACCGTGCCATCTATTTTTTTTCAGATGTTTGCTGTGATGGGTTCCGTCAACCAAGTGCACAAAGGAGTCGAGCAGACTATAGCATTGCCTCTCGTGTATGCTCTGATGGAAGGAAAGGAGCAGATTGCCTACGCAAAAATTTTCCAAATCATCAGTGACCGCGGACGCGAATTCGGAATCCAACTTCGTCAACCGCCTCGTATTATGTCGGACTTCGAACTGGCCATCATAAACGCAGCAGCAGAGTTCGGAGGAAATGTTCATCTATACCTGTTTCATCTCTGTCAAAGCGTGTATCGCTTTCTTTGTGAAGTACGATTTTTTATTTTTTCTTTCGTTCTTTTTCATCAACTCACTTTTATTACTTTTATACTTTTCCAGGTTGGACTTCAGAGCGCCTACAAAAATCCAAAGGATGACTCCGTACGCACGGCATCAAGGATGATGTGTGCCTTGGCATTTGTCCCCGTGGATGACGTTGAAGAAGTTTTCGATCTTTTCAAGGAACAAGAACATTTGCCTGAAGTCTTTAGGATCAAAGTTGTACCATATTTCGAGGTAAGTCGTATATTCTTAACTTGTTATCTCTTTTACTTAATTTTTTTAAATCAAATCATTATAGAGAACGTATGTCCGTGGGAAGAAGCAATCAAAACTTTGAAAAAAGCAGATTAAAGGTCTTAAAAAGACCTTTAATTTGACGGGATTGAATTTGGATTTGCTTAAAAATTGACGGCTACAGAGCCATTTGAATATTGCTGTAAAGAAGCGGAAAAAATTAATTTAAATCGGAAATTAAAAAAAAAATTTTTTTTGCTTCCAGTCTAATATACACACACACACATACAATGCGTACGAGGTGTGACTACTTTTTAGGTGTGAACATTTTTTGTTAGACCACTTTTCATGCTTCTCAACTTCATACTGTTGTTTACATCGAAAGTAGTGAATCTTTCGAAAATTTTATTACCTCATTTCGATAGGATTTTTTCAAGGAATCTGATGATCTTTTCAGATTCTCGATATTTTTTATGAAATTCGAATGAGAGTGAAAAGAAAGTTGGCGGAAATTTATGCGCTGTATATGAGTAGCGGCGTGTCGTCACTTAGTTCTTGTCATACTTGCCAGATGGAGCGCGACGGGCACTCCTCGATATGACGAGCGCGGCGAACAGCCTTACTGCTCATAAAAATTTATCAATAATTTTTGCGATGTTAACAAAAAATATTTTTCATCTGATAAAACATTGATTTTAGAAAAGAAGTTTATGGAACAAAAATTCTTAGAATTAATTAAAAAACATGCCTGAATTATTTCAGAATTTTTGGAAGTGATTTTAGAAAACCGGATTTTCCGTACTTTCCAGAAATGTGAAAATTATTTCGGAAAATTCTGAAAAAAATTTGAGGGTGTTCCTTGAATAATTCTAAGACTTTCATGTTCTGTAAACTTTTTTTCTTAAGGGGACATTCCCATTAAAAATGAAAAAAAATCGATACATTTTTTTTACGTTAAAATGTTCTTTAACATTACAAAAATATCCTGTTAAAATTTTAGAACGAAATTCATAAAGGAAAAAAAGTTATGCCCGATTACACGAAGCGTCTAGCGTGCTCGATATGTACAGAGCAAAACTTCGGACGCGTTTTTCTTATAACTACTTTTTTTCAGCTCTTGACAGCGATTGCGAAAAAACTACTCGTTCGATCTTTACGTTTAACGTCTCGTTTTAATCGTTACAACTTTCTCTAGAAGACAAACCTCTAAAAAGTTGAAAAAATCATCCCTAATTTTTTTTATAGGGGTGAATTCATCCCTATAAGCACCGAACAGAGGATTTTTTAAAGAAAAACTCGTGCCAAAATCGTAAAAATTGAAAATATCAATTTTATAGAGGTTTGTCTTCTAGAGAAAGTTGTAACGATTAAAACGAGACGTTAAACGTAAAGACCAAGAGCCGAAACACGGATTTCAGCAAATTCCGTCTATAGTCAACAAAATGGGTCTTAAGTCCCATAAAAAATTTTTTTTTGTAGTTTAATATGTAAGAAACAATACCCCAAAGGTCCGGAATGAATAAAAATTATAGTTTTCAAAAAAAAAAAAAAAATTTAAAAAGTGATTTTTTTTACAATTTGCAATGGGAATGTCCACTTAAACTGAATAGCTTATGACATAGAAAATAAAGGAATTTGAAAGTCGATTTTTTCATTCAAGCCATCATTTCGTTAAGACAAAAATATTGTTTATCAAAAGTAACAATGGTTTTTTGACCCATTAAAAACAAAAATGCTTGATTTTTTTGTTGGTTTTCGCAGCAAAATTTTTTTTGCAGTTTCAGGTCTTTGAAAAACTTTGCACGGACCTATTTCGATGTAAAATTCATTCAGAAACTGAGCACGATTTTTTGCGTAATAAAAATGTTATAGCTACTTAAACAAAAGAAAAAGTAATAATTTTTGCAAAAAAATCAAATTTTCGATTTTTTTTTACTTTATTACCTCTAAGGAATCACGATAAACATGATCAGAGGTAATCACGACTATCAAAGTATCTCAGGGAATTTTTATGAAACTTTTAATGTATGTGCGCGCTCGCGCGCGTCAACTAATCAAGTGAAAATGACAAACATGAAATTGAAATAACTGATGACTTACAAATATAAACATTTTAGCAAACGCCAAATTTAAGTTTTCTTACTAAAATAAATATTTGAACGACTGACGCGAGATTCGACCAATCATGAAGCGAGGCGCAGTTACTCCTCGACCCATGAGGTGACGAATAAAACGACTTCACATGCTTTTTTTAAAGGAAAGATTTTCGAACCACTCCTTAAAATAGAAAATAACTCATATTCATATAAAATATCACTCATTCTTTACTCGAAAAATATTGAGTATAGAGTAAAAGTACACAAAACAAAAATTTAAAAGTTGTTCGAAAATTTCATAAAATTTCCCCGAGATACTTTAATAGTTGTGATTACCCCTGATCATATTTATATTGTGATTCCTCAACGGTAATATGGCGAAAAAAAGTCAAAAACTTGATTTTTTGAGAAAATTTTTACGTTTTCTTTTTATTAAGTAGCTATAATTTTTTTATTACGATCTTATCACCAGAAAAAAATTTAACCTCAAGGCACTGAAAATCCAATAGGTTTGGACCTAGAGAGCTGAAACTTTCAAGATTTTCATTTTTCAATGTACTCTTCAAACGGACATAATTGAAGAAAAAATCACATCAAAAATTTTTCACGCTAACTATGGCTTAGCCGATTTACATACAGGCAGATATTTGTGAGGTAAAATCCATCGACGCATTTTCTTTACGTTTTTTCTTAATGCTCGCAAAATGCAGGTATGTTAATCTGTCATGAACTCGTTAATAACTTGAATATTGCCTATTTAAACATCAAATTTGGACACAGATAGTGACAATCATTCCGTGATCGGGTACTCCTTGTTAGTTTGAATACCGTAGGTTCTTCTATGGTAACATTTCATTACCAGTTTTTATGACAAACGCATATGATAAAAATAAACTAATTTATAAAGATTATTAATAATTCTCGAATGTCAAAACATAATATATATTTATATTATATAGTGTCACGTGGGACGACAAGGCCCCACCAATGACGCGGCGCACTACAATGAGAGTCATAAGCATAGCTCATCAGCGGCGGCAGTATCAGTACATCAAGCGACGAGGAGACACCTTGCGAGAACGGCCCCTCCCCTCTGATATATTTTGAGCCTAATTAGTTATTTCGCCTTTTTATTTAACCCCTTCCCACGTAACAATAGTAATAACCATAAAAAAAACTTACCGATTAGCTTATAGCTATCTGGTTCCCACGGAGGAGGCTCTTTTGTAGCAGCATCGAATTCATAGTATAACAAACTAAACGTTTCTTTACAGCTGAGAGCATTTCCTGGAAACAAGGAACAGTCTCGAACTGTAAATTTAATTTCTATGTACATACGATTAGCTGGGCCTCGTTCAATAAACGGAGTCCATAGCCAATTATTAACATTATTATAAGCTACGTCACATACTACGTAACTTCTCCAATTTATTCCTTTGTCAAAATTAGTGAATGATTCTTCTACCCACTGCAAAAATAAATCAGAATACGAATAAGTGCATGTATAAATACATTTGGATCATAATAATATTTTACAAAACCGTGAGCACGTATGTCACCGATCTGAACACACTTTTGGTATGTTATAGTACATCGTAGAAAGGCCCCAAAACCAAAATTATAGACCCCCTCCCTCCTTCTTGATTAAAATATCAGAAAAAATTCATGAAGGTACTTTTCTGCAATCCTAGCAACTTTGAATTTTTTCAGATTTTTCAAGAGCTTCAGGCCTTCAGATGAAATCATTGAAAATTTCGGAAGTCCAGATATAGCGATATAAACCGATGTAAAACGCGAAATTTTTTTTCTTTAATCTCTTCAAAAAACAACATTAATTTTTTCAGATTTTCTCAGATTACCTAAAATATTTTATGAAGCCAAAAACCCTTTTTTGAATGAAAATTATTTTTTAGGGCGATCGGAGCCTTAAAAAATTTGGAAAAAATTTTTTTTCATATGTTTTCAATCAAAATACATTAGCTTAAAATTTTCTAGATTTTTAAACTACAGTTGATAGCTCCTAGAGCTGAAAAACGCTATTTTTAACGAAAAAGGTTCCTGGAAACCGATGTTTTCGGTGAAAAATTTGAAAATCTTTTTTCTGAATTATTTGTCAAATTTTTAAAAATTTTGTGTGTTTCGTTTTTCGATTGAAGCCTCTTAGGTCAATCTAGAGCATTATATAGATCGTAAAAGATTTTATTGTCCCATCAGTTGTCTTCAGGAATGTCCTCAGAATTTTATTTTATTCGATTTGATGTTCTAGATTGAGCTAGAGGCTTAAATCGAAAAAATGGAATGGTCAAAACTTTTTAAAATTCAGGAAAAAATTTTACTGATTGAAAAGTCCTTCGACCAATCCTACGAATCCATCGTTTTTGAGTTAAAAATTCCAGAAATCTTCTCAAATATTTTCTTTTTTTAATCGCCATTTTGTATAACTAAAATCATATTTCACTAATTGGAATCATCATAACTTTAAGATAAGGGCACATAGATGCTTGCGACGCGGTGGCCGCGTCGTAGCCTCATCGATGTTGGCTGCGGCTCTTAGCGCGCCAGAAGGAGACGTGTGTGTGTGTGTGTGTGTGCGTGTGTGCGAACTCGCTGCGGCTTGGAGCGCGCGAGTTTTGCTAGTATGTGTGTGTATGCATGCGCCAGCTGCGACTTGGGCGCGCTGGCAATGCATGCTGTGAGTGCGAGAGAGAGCGAGCGAGCCGAGCTGCGCCGCGAGGCGCGCCGGCTTGTGCGCAGCGGTTGAGCTCCGATCACGTCGAAGTGAGTCAGGAGCGTCGGTTTGCGAGCTCGGCGGCACGAGCAGCGGCGAGCGATCACGAGCGACGAGAGAGCGCTGAGATCGAGCGCGCTGATCGACATTCAAGTCCTAGCAGCTCAAGAGAGAACATCTCATTCAACAGCGACGACAGTTAGAAAGCGTAAGGGTTGGTTTGGTATAGTATTGTGTGAGTGTGTTGTGCGCTTGAGATTACTCGCGTGATTGTGTGTTCGGATTTGAGTGTTGAGTTGATCAAGGGTCGACCTGGTGCGCTTGAAAGAGCTGCACTATTCTACCCGGTGTGTTTGGTGAATTAGCTGAGTGGCGACGTAGTGGTAGGCTAGCGCACGCGCTGGACTTTGTCCTTGCAGCGTGCAGCTGGCGTGGTTAGCTGAGTGGCGAAGCACAGACCACCCAGTTGGTCTCGTGCACCTCGTCTCCTCGGCGACGCCCAGCGCGCTTCATCCGAGCGCGGCGGAGGGACCCGAGTTCGAGAGTAAGAGCGAGTAGGGTCGCAGTGTAGTGTCGAAGCGAAAATTAGGTAGTGTTGGCGTACCCTGCACACGGTCTCGGGTAATACTCGGCAGTCGAGTAGAAGGCCGTGTGGCATGCTTTATTAGTACCTAAAACGCTAGGATTTAAACAATTTTTATGTAAAAATCCAAAAAAAAATTTTTTTTACGAAATTACGTCTTTTTTTTATAAAACCATCCATAACTTCTGACCCGTTTGTTGTATTAAAAATCTGACACCAAATTCGGAAAGTTCATTAAATTTTTTATTAAAAATGCTTACCAGCAAGTTCTCCAGAACCCATTTTCAGTCTAAGTACATCGGTTCAAAAAATATCAAAAATGTGTCCGTACCGGACTTAATGGGTTAATAATAAAAAAGTTTTACGAGATATCAATATTATGTCAACTGTTATTTATATTTCGGTAAGATCTAAACTTCTACTTTCTATTAATATGGGACATGACGTGTTATGACGTGATAAGCTCGTTGAAAACGTTAAATTTCAGAATCATAATAGTGTAAGAAAGAGGCTATGTTTTTTCATTCGCCTGTATTTTTTTAAACATACTTCACGATAATTTCTTTTTACAAAATTAGTATTTAGACGTTGGTAGTTTTCAATAAAAAATTATACCACATTAGGTGACGTGTCATATTAGGGCAGTCTCTTCAAGTTATGAAATAGATTTTTTGTAAATTTACGACGCTTCCGCTATTATGTAATGAAAATTGATGACATATTTTTTCAAGTAGGGGGAAGCAGGGGGTGTTGGCATGTCAAGTAAGTTGGCGAAATAACTTATTTCTCCTGATCAATGTCTTGAACCGAGATAGTGCCATTACATACAAACACCACATATTACAGTGTTAGGCCTACTGAAAGTATCATCTATAGAAAAGTCATTAATGCGGATAAATATGCCGTTTTGCTAGCTTAGCTCACATGTCAAACCACCCTACTGTTCCCTAGCTAAGGAGATGCTTCATTAATTGATGTTTTTTGCGGCTTCCACAAAAAAATCACCGAATTGCAGCATTTTTAAAAAATCATTGAGTGGAGAAAATCCTTTATGATCTTATTGTATGAAGAAGAAATTAGTTAAACATAATTAATATTAACATTTTATAAAAGTACTTACTCCTGGTGTATTTGCTTGTTTGCCGAAAGGAAACTTGGTCCATTTTAAGCTTCCCTCTATTGTCGTATCTAACAATACCACTGAAAACAGAAAAATTAATGTGAAATGTAGGAGAAATTTTTTTACATTGATCGAAAGCAATTAAAGAACCAAAGGGGCTTAAAATTGGAAAGGAATTTTTTTATTTTCAATTAGGACTTTTTGCTCCTCTTTCCAATGCATTTATCAATTTTGATTATTCACTGAGATACAACTGTTTCTGTGAGCCTTTATTATAAACTTTACGTGTTAAATTGTTTTTACTTTTGCATTGTTTGGCGTTTTACGTTTTGCAAAATCGTCGTGTCATAACATACAAACCTAGCCGTTGAAGCTACAGCACCAGGGTCCGGTATATTTCTTCAGAACATCAATGGGCACAAACGCAAACTCAAGCGAGACCGTTCGACCCCTTAAGCATAATTTTTTTTCGTTTTATGTTTTTTTCTATATTTATGTTATAAATATACTCATTAAAAGTGATATATGAGTTCGATCACTTCACCCGAGGTTGCGTTCATGGCAATTGATATTTACGCGATTCTGATGCTGTAGCTTCTACGGTTTGCTCTGTTACGACAAGTGAGGTGCATTTTGCTAAAATGTAAAACGTCAAAAAACACAAAAGAAGAAAAAATTCAACATATAAATTACACGAAAAAGGCTCACGGTAACAGCTGTATCCCAGTTAAAAATTCAGGGAAAGGGTGGAAAAAATCCTACTCAATAATATTAAAAAAAAAAAAATTTTTCAAGTTCAAGGTGTATATGTCGCCTTAATTTTTCGTCCGAATGTATATCACTGATCTTGACACGGTTTAATATATTACTAGCGTCGTTCCTCGCTCGCTAACGCTCGCTCGGTCTCAGATTGTTTCAAAGAAATTTTAAGAAATATTGGAGGAGTAAGAATATTATAAGACATATTTATGAAATATTTAAATTTTGAACAATTTTAAATGTTGAGACATAATAGAATATAATAGAATCATGTTTATCGATATACTATGTGATTGGTCATGATTCATTGAATACAAAATGACCCAAGAACTTGATAGATTTAACTTAACGAAACATCATCTCTCCTTCTCGTCTTAAATATAGTACAGTGACTTTCTAAAAGGGCATTAGTTTGTACGTTGAAATAGGTCTATGAGAAATTTGGAGATTAGTAGATTAAAAAAATAACTAAATAAAAAATCTGCTATACTTAAGTGGAAAAGAATTTAATTATAAAAATTTTGAGACCTAAAGGATCATTGATTAAATATTGATTAAATATTATCAAAATCATGTTGACAAGGACTTAAAAATTACAAGTCAATATATATGTATCCTGGATGAATTTTAATAATAATAGGAACCCCAGACATATTTTTTGTTGTAAAAAAACCTGCAAAAACATATTTTATCATCCGAAACAAAAAATTTTAATATTAATCCTTAATTTTCATGCTTTTGCATTTAAAATTTCCATGGCCTAAGAACAACAATCTTTATACTTTAATTTTCGATTCTTTTTTTATTATAAATTTTTTAATTTTCATTTTAGCGACGAAAATCTTTCACAGAATAGACAAATACTAAAGATCATTGTACCCGTTCACTTGACTTATCTGTAATTATATACTTAAATAACTAACTTGTCTGCTTTTAATTCATAAACATTAATTTCTTTTTCTTTTACATTACTTTAAGATAAATAATAATTTTCAAATGTACATTTTTTTCTTGTTCGAAAGTCTAGTTTGATATATTGTTTTCGAATATGGGATTAATGAATCTTTATTAGAAGCAACAAATGAAAGAATGAAAAAGGTTATATTGAAAAAAAGCCCTTTGGTCAGTAATATTGAAATTAGTATTGAATTAATTTCTTTTTTTTTACATTACTTCAAGATAAATAATAATCTAATGTAAATTTTTTTCTTGTTCGAAAGTCTAGTTTGATATATTGTTTTCGAATATGGGATAAATGAATTTTTATTAGAATCAACAAATAAAAGAAAGGAAAAAGTTATAATGAAAGAAAGCCCTTTGGTCAGTAATATTAAAATGAATAATTTTGATAAAATAATATAAAATATATGGGTCAAAATAATACATTTTTCAATTTTCGTCCGCACGTATGTCACCAATCTTGACGCGCTTTTGGTATGTTATAGAGTACATCATAAAAAAGTGCCACGCATCACAAAAGTGGACGGGTCGAAGCGTTCCCCAAATGAACTCATCCACGAGAACCCGAAAACAAAAAAATTCCCTGAAGATGTTTTAACAGGGGCCAAAACGGGCACATAGTGCACCAGGTCGGCACGGTCAAGTTATTCGCCACAAACTCATCCGCGAGAACAGGAGAACAAAAAAATTCCCCGAAGAAGTTTCAACAGGTGCCAGAACGGGGACTCGGTGCACCAGGTCGGCACGGTCAAGTTATTCGCACGCGCATATCACCTGCGCTGATGCGGAGACATTTTAGAGAAAAAACTTTGCTATAAAAGCCGGCACAGCTGGCGTCGCGCGGCATTGCCAGCGGAGCAGCGGTCAGTGCAACATCTATGTTATTGACGTATGACCGAAATAATGATCGTTTTCATACTCAAAAAGCAAGTGTTGCGCGAGCGCGCACATACATTATAAGTTTCATAAAAATTTCCTGAGATACTTTGATAGTCGTGATTACCTCTGATCATGTTTATCGTGATCCCTTAGAGGTAATAAGGTGAAAAATAATCGAAAATTTGATTTTTTGCAAAAATTCTGAAAAAATTCACACGTATTCTCTAAACGAATTCAAATACATTTTTACACTCCAAATTGTACTTTTTAGTTAATATTTAGCGCATGTGAAATAGTTTTCGAGTAAAAAATGAGGGAATTTTTATATCGCTACTCGGTATAAATTTGTCATTTTAGAAATATAGGGGCTATATAGAAATCGCGGCAGCGCGTTTTTTGAAGGTTCAGAGAAAAAGTGCACGATTGCTGGTGCTATGGGAACCCTCGGTCGACAGGACAAGGTAGAAAATCGACTTTGAAAAAAAATTTTTAGTCAAAAAACCATTTTTTTTCGGTAGTTTATATGAACAGACGAGACACACTTATTAAGGAAAACCCCCACACATTATATACCAATTGTGCTGGAGTGTTATTTTTTAAAAAAGAATTCAAGACTTGAAAAAGTTAAAGTACTACAACTTTGCAGCCAGCTGGACTTGTCGGTTTTAGCCTGATAAAAATAAAAATATCTTTGTCTTAAATTAGGGATCTTTCTATTTACCACTCTTCCCTTAGCAGTATTTACGTAGAACAATTGTAAAACCATGATGAGGTGGACTGGGGAACTTCATTGCCTTTCATTTTGTTGGGAATTCATTTTTCCTTCAAAAGAAGATATTCTTTGAAGGGCAACAATACCGGGATAAGTTTACGGCGAGTCTCTTCGACTTCCCTCAGGATTTTTCGTCTCAGATATCAGTAATGACAGATTACACAGCTCTACAAAAAAAAAAAATTTTCAAATCCACCGACCGGACCTAGTGGACTTTATGTTTTTGGGGTCGCTGAATCCGAATCCGGGGTCAGTTTTTCAAGGTTGGCCCATTTTAGAGGTCATTTGAAGGTCAAATAATAGGAAAAAGGTAAAAAATCTGAAAAAATTCATAAATGGGTTTCTGATGATGCAGAATCCAAATCCGAGGTCGGATGACCTTCAGGAGGTCACTTTCAAGGTCATGTGAAGGTCAAACTACAAGAATTCAATGAAAATATCCGAAAAAATCACCCTTTTGTTTTGAGGGTCGCTCATTCTAAATTAGAGGTCATTTTGACTGAATCTGGCCTTGTAAAGGTCATTTGAAGGTTATTTTAGGGTCAGATCACGAAAAAAGCTTAAAAAAATCTGATAATACTCATTTTCAGGTTTTTAAGGATGCTGAACTCAAATCTGAAGTCAGATGACCTCTATGAAGTCACCTTCAAGGTCATTTCAATGTTAAATTTATTTAATGCGATAAAATATTGGAAGAAAGTTGTGCTTAGTTTTTTAAAACTGAATTAATTATTTAGTCTGAGACATTTAGCGAGCTCACATTCTGGAATAGAGCTGCTTTTTTCCCTACTCAATAAATATAATACATTTTTTCTAAGCTATTTCCCCGCAGTAAAGCAACCAAAAAAATCTCTTTATTTTTTAACAATCAATTTTTACTTCCGTTATTATAAAATTTACCTTAATTTTGTTGACATAGCTTCAGGTAAATTTTTTATAGGACTTCTTTATATGTGAATATAATATAGGCTATTTTATTTTTTACTATAGAATTGGGTCACAAAATTTGAAAAATTCTTCATCAATGGATTTTTCTTCGATTAAAACGAATGAATTTTAAAATTTTGTGAAACAATGTCTGAGAGTGTAAAAATAAATTCACTATAAGTATATCATTATGACAAAGTAGAGATGAGCAAGGTAGATCGGCATGGGGAGTGAATTGACAAATCGGCATATTTTTTCATATTAATGCACCGTTTTCGTTCGTGATATTGATATGGAGAAATATGCGGTTCTGTTAACTTACTCTCATTCTGACACTCTTTTTTTCTTCTAGTCTTTACCTGCTGCCTCGATAAGTTTGATGCCGGTGAAATAAAATGTAATATGTCTTATAAACTGCATTTCTTACATAACCATTCAGATGAGTTTCCAGATAACTGTGGTGATTTCAGTGACGAGCATGAAGAACGATTCTATCAAGACATGAAAAGTATGGAGCAGCGGTATCAATTAGGTAGATAGGATGTTTTGATGATGGCTGATTGATTACTGCTGGATGTTGAAGAGAGAGAGAGAGTCAAAATGAGAAAGGCAAAAAACGCAAACGAAAACCATTACGCCGTTCGTTTGAAGAAAAAAAAGATGCGTTGCGAAAAAAAAGTAAAAACGCATGCAAAATTAAAAATATTTTCTTAATTTTTTACTTCCTTGTATTAATTTAAAGTTTAAATGACCTTGAAGGTGACTTCATAGAGGTCATCTGAC